AACAAACTTTTTGGTTCCCTGGTAATATTCTCATTGCTCCCATGCCAGGATCACAGCTAATTATGAAAGAAACATTTTCCAGGAAGTAATACATGTAAAACATCTGAGGTGCATTTGCTTATGGACACAAATGCACCTCTAATTGGTCAAAGTGCAGACTGGGGCATGGATTTAATGACATGTGAAAGGAGGAAAATGGAATACTTCCAGTCACTCAATTTTTTCCCAAGTACTGGCTACTTTAAGCCAAACTAGTTCCAGGACTCTAGGATTCTGGCTTTGAGTAACTGTTCTGAGTATTCCTTGTTAGTCTTATGTAGGGGAAAGGAGACTGAGATGATGGTATTTGGTGGGGACCAGCAATCTCAACAACCACACCCAGCCCTACCTCCGCCTTGGTTTCGCTCCCTGTCGCAGCTGCTCAGGTGTCTGCACGGAGAGCAAAGCCAGGCAGTGTCACACATTTTATTGCCACGGGGATTCCATCTTGGTCCTTAATACAGATCCCAGGCGAGCTATTCTGGGACCACGTTGATGATGTTTTGCGCCAATGGCAGACATAGCCCTACAGAGGAGAACGCCGGGGGAAGGAGGCTGGCGGTTTGTTTCCTAAAACGGCTTCAAATTCTCTGTGCTCTGGATCTGGCCAATCCAATGTTGAGGGAAGGAGCCCCCAGGCAGACTCAGCGCCGCCACTGGCCCCTCAGTCTCAGGGTTCCTCCTCTTTGGACATGCAGCAGGCGAGAAGCAGGGCAGGGAGGACAGGAAGAGCAAGTCGAGGCTCACACACTCATTAGCTGGGACCTCGAGGGCCTCCTGGACTCTGGTTGCCAGTGAGGGGGGCCCAGGGAAGGACTTGATCTCCTGGTTTTTAAATCTGTGGTCCTTTAGAGGAACCCCAGAGCGACTTCCTACTGTCTCGAATTTTCCCCTCCCTACAGCTGACTCTGAAATTGCTTGGCTTGGCTTTGTTGACATGATAATAATTACAGTCATTTTCATTAATTGCTCCCTATTTGAGCCTAATTGCTATGCAGTACAATAAAAATTATGCACATCATTCAATGTGCCATATTAACTTCAGCTCTTACTCCATTGTAATATTAGATTTGGTTCACGTGTACATATTATTGCTCTTGTGACTTGGCTATATACACCATTTTTTAAAAATAGGAGAAAAGACCTATTTCAATAAGTCAAATCAGTGTAACCAGCAAGGGAGCCTCAGGAATAGGAAAGTTGTCCTTTCTGTTTTTCTCTGTGCAACCCCTTTGTTCTTCTCTCTGTCTCTTGGTCATCTTCATCTGCTTCTCCACGCACCCAGCAGAAGATGAACCTCCACAAAAGGCTCCTGAGTTTATACCACCTCCATCCCTGTAACCAGCCTAGATAGATGGCTCTTTCGGGTCTGATTCCAGATTCCCAGGAGAAAGAACCCAGCTACTCTGGCTCAGTTGATATTTCTGGTTCAGTCCAGTGTGGCTGAATGATGGGGTGAAGGAGTTCAAGAAGAGATTCAGGCACTCCCAACCAATGGGTGCTTGGGTGGGTGAGGGTGGTGGTGTTGCTATCTCCACTAAAGTGTGAGACTGGTAGTAGTTTAACATACATGTCTCTACTTCTCCTGGGAGAGTTGCCATGTACTAGGAATCAAAATCTCCACTTCCTCAAGCCTTTCTGTGAAGTGGGAGTCACAACGTGTAGAACTTGTCCCAGTGTTGCAAGACACAGTGTTCACAGGGTACTTTGCACAGTCCCGGCACATAGAAAGCACTGAAAACAATAGTCACCATTATTGCTGTTGTTATCTCTCTGGATCCTTAAACCTTTATTTATTTATTTATTTTTTTTTTAGATTTTTTTTTGGCAGGTATGATTTAAAAACCCATAAAATCCGCCCAAGGATTTATTTGAGAAGAATCCAAGAATCTCGGGGAAATCGTCTCCACAAATTTTATGTATTCTTTCCCTCAAATACCTGAACAGCGTTTTAACCGTCTCCACAGTCAGGTCCGCTTTGGGAGCGCTCCGAAGCCTGGCGCGCAACATTTCCCGACTCCACGAGGGGGCGGGCTCCCCCAACGCAAGTGCTCTGTGCTCGCGCCCGCCCGGGAGAGACAAAGGGCAGTGCCGCGCCGGGCGGCTGCGGCGTAGAACCTGTCCGCCGTCACAAGTCCAGTATTACCTTCAAGAAAATGTAAGAAATAAAAAGCAACAAAAACGTTTTTAAGGCCTAGAAGAATTCCCCAGCTGCGTGACCACGATGGCTCTTGCCACTTGCCAGGCCTGGTTGTTACAAGCCTGTGAAATGAGCAAAAGAAATTTCCAGCGTCCCCGGTTTACTCTTATCTTTGCCTTTGTATCTGGTCTTCTGTTCCCTCTCTCTCTGTGTCTTCCTACTCCTTCGCCCCCCTCTTCTGTGGAAACCTACCTTCAGGAAAAATAACCGTAATTTAAATTTTATTTATTTATTTATTTTGAGGCAGTCTCAGCCTAGCTCACAGCAACCTCAAACAACTGGGCTCAAGTGATCCTCCTGCCTCAGCCTCCCAAGTAGCCGGGACTACAGGCATGCACCACCATCCCCGGATAATTTTTTCTATTTTTAGTTGTCCAGCTAATTTCTTTCTATTTTCAGTAGAGACGTGTCTTGCTCTTGCTGAGGCTGATCTCAAACTCCTAACCTCAAGCAATACTCCCTCCTTGGCCTCCCAGAGTGCCAGGATTACAGGCGTGAGCCACCACTCCCGGCCTAAATTTTAAAGAATTAAGAATCCTAGGGATTTTTGTTCACTGTAAATGCTATCAGGAGTGTGACAGTTACTAAAAATGGAACTTGCACTTTCAGATGCCTTCCCAGGACTCATATGAAGGGAAGTGGAGTATTAGTGGCTCAAAGCAAGGCCATGGAAGGTACATAGGCCTGGGTTTAAATCCTAGCTTATACGCATTACTAGCTCTGTAACCTGGGGTAAGTTACTAAGGCTATTTCTCTTCATCTGTAAAAGGGGGATAATAATAGATCCTATCTCATGAGGATGAAAAAAGATAATTCATGTACAGTACATAGTGTTTGGCACATAAAACACATTCAATAGTAGTTGCTATCATGCTACAAGTGTCATCACAGTGATATTACATCAATGAATTATTAGAGTGATATGATTTCATATTACCTAATTATTAGATTTTTTTTTATCATGGTTCCATTTTATCCTCCACCTTAGACAGTTTCTGGAGTGTTACCTTTATGTCTGAACTAGAGGAAGAGGACACATTTTAAATGAAACATGGACATATTGGAACAGAGGAGGAAATGGCTAGGATGGTGGAGGTTCTGGAAACTATCTTGTGAAAATTAGTTGAGAGAATTAGGACCATTGAAACTGAAGAGTACAAGATTTATGGGGAGCATGAGAGCACATATCTTCAAATCAAGAGCCTGATCCTTTGGAACAAGTAGATTGTGCGTTTGCTTCTGTTAGCCTCCCAAGTGGATTCATGCCCATTTGGGTTATGTTTCCTTCTTAGGTTAAGGGTTCTTGGAACCAATGTAATGACAGACTTATGGTTGCAAATTCTCAAGGGAAACTTCCCTGCTGGAGCCTAGACCAAGACAGAAAAGCTTCTTTATTGTCTCCCTGAGCCAAAGGATCCATTTCCTGATCCACTCTTTCACCCTTACTATAGCCATTCCAAGATAGGCTTTCTAGAGGTTGCAATTACCGTGTTTTCCCAAAAATAAGACAGGGTCTTATATTTATTTTTCCTCAAGAAGACACCTTAGGGCTTATTTTCAAGGGATGTGTTATTTTTTTCAAGTACGGTACAACAATCTACATTTATTCAAATATAGTTAAGTCATCTTCCTCTGGAACATCATCATAACTCTCCAAACACCGAATTCCATCTCAAATTTCTTGCAACTCTATTTCCTTTAGAACCAATGGCCCCCAATCTCTCATGTCGAGCAATAGAGCTCTCATGGGGCAGATGAGAAGGGCTGCTTGTCTTCTTTACTGCTCCACGACCAAATACATGGGTTGTGCAGATACGCTGTGTAGCCACACCCTTCACTAGGTCTTATTTTGGGGGTAGGGCTTATATTGCACAAATGCTTAGAAATCCTGCTAGGGCTTATTTTATGGGTAGGTCTTATTTTCGGGGAAACATGATAACACCCAACATTCGGCAGCTCCAAGCCTCATATCCTGCCCTGTCCTGAGCATTCTAACCCAAGCCTCTAGGTGGCTAAGCCTGGCAACTCCCACCCTGGGTGACTATAGCATCCACATATGTAGTCACTCCTCTCATTTTTCAGTTCCCTCTTCATTTTTGGCCCCAAGGGCTTTCCTTACTTTCTTCTAGCATTTAGCCATGTCTTAAGGGAGACATTTTTACTGGATCCGGAATTTCTGATTGTTTTGGAGCTAGATGATTTGGGGTTGTGTGGTTTTACCATATACCCAGTTAGTTTTAAAAATAATTAAATAATAAAAAATTAATCATAGCATTTAGAGAGAACTTGGGAGTTCCTGAGAAAATGATCTAAGCTCTTTATTAAAGGAAGCTTGCTAAGGAGGGCTGCGGAAAAGGGGAAGTGGTTGTCGTAGGGAGGGATGAGATCCAGCCAGTGCCCACGCTGGTGGCCCTTTGATGCCATCAAGGGAGTTTTCACGTTAGATAACTCTGAGACTGAAAGGATTTAAAGGAATGTGGGACCTGGCCCACAGTATCTGTAGTGAAGACTTAATAGTGAGGAAATGCAAAAATAAGCAAATGTTTAGAAGGCCCTTTTCTGAAAAATCTCCTCACATATGGGATTAAGGTCCCCATGTAAGGAAGGCTGGACCCAGTTAACTCTTTCACAGGCTTCCATCTGAGTCTGTGTGTTTGTGGGGCAAGAATGAGCACCGGAGTTGTTGGGCTCCACAGAATATAGTCAAAATGCTTCTTCCCCTTCCTGGTCATGATGTTCATGACAGTCTCTCTGGCTTTACGATATTTTACAGTTTAAAGAGTTTCTCTTCCACACACAATTTCTTTGTCTTAAGAGTCCTGTGAAATAGGCAGAGATTGTTGTCCCTATAGCAGTTTGTCCAAGGACACACAGGTAAGTGGGCAAGATAGGACTTGGCTTCCTATCTTTAGGCTGGGTCATGGGATGCCAATCCTTTTGTGTGAATTGCACTCATTCTAAAGTCTCTGACATGTCAGTGAGTTAACTTCTTTGGTTATCTCTTTTGGAGGCTATTGGTCTCTAATAGAAAGACTCTGTTTTTACTTAGATTGTCTGATTCTAAATCCATCTTAGAGAAGAAGAAGGTTAGTGAAGAGAGTCTGGTGACGCTTCATTCCACTGTCACTCCAATCCTATGCCTTTGTACTATGCTGCTGGATTATAACCACAGTCAGCTGTACTTGAATCACGGCACTAACTCAGAACAACCATTTTACGGAACATAGTAGCCACAGAGACAAATTGGGGCTTGGGCCCATTCTTTCAGATCTTATTATCGATTTAAGTATAGTAGGTAGCAAATGTTAATGGCCAACCAATTAGACTAGAGCAGCAATCATCACAGTAAGTCACAATTCTTAAGGTCCTTTAAATGTAGGTTTGTAAAGCTGCCTTTAGTGGGAATGTGCGAATTCCTTTCCACCTCTCTTTTATGCTCCAATCCCAGGTAACTGCTCATCATTCTAGAGGACGGGGTGCTGTGGGAGGACATGAGGGTGTCCTAGTCATCTGCCATAGTCTTTTTCTGAGGCTACTTCTCTCAACAGTATAGAAGGTGCTGCCCTTCTATAACTGCAGTGCAATGTTTTCAATTCATTGCTTCCCTTTCGGCTTCACTAAGGCTCTCCATGCCATGGGGTCACCAGCCCTAAGCCCATCCTGGCTAATAGAAAGTCACTGGAGACACTACATAAGGCTGTTTTTAGCAGTTGATCACATTTATTTTAGTTGTAAACATCATTGAATACTTCCTCTTATACCCCAACAGAACACAGTAAAAATAACCAGAAATAATTAGATGGAGCACAGAATAAAAGCGGCAGTTCTTATCAACGACAGCAACAACTGCCACCACCACGGGATTCCAGAGGGCAAAGAGGCCAAACTGAGAACATGGACCTGAACATCGTCCCACTCCATGCCTGGGACGACTTCTTCCCGGCCCCCGACGGCTTTGCCTGGCCAGACTTCAGGGACACGTCCAGATGGAACCACCGCGTGGCGAGCAACCTGCTGTATTACCAGACCAACTACCTGGCGGGGGCTGCCATGCTGATTTCCCTCGTGGGCTTTCTGAGCCCCTTGGACATGCTCCTCGGAGGCACCGCGGTGGCGCTGGCATGCACAGGGCTCCTGTGGGCCGCCCGCAATGAACACGTCCTCCGCCAGATGCAGAGGCGACACCCCACGGAGTTGGTCGTGGTGCTCATGTTGGCCAGCTGTTTCCTTATATCCGTGTTTGGGGCGGTCCTGGTCTTTGTTTTTGGCATCACTTTCCCTTTAATGTTGATGTTTATCCACGCATCGTTGAGGCTCCGAAACCTCAGGAACAAGCTGGAGAACAAAATGCAAGGACTAAGATTGAAGAGGACACCAATGGGCATTGTCCTGGATGCCCTACAACAGCAGAAAGAAAACATCAGCAAACTCACTGACTATATCAGCAAAGAGAAGGAATAAACCTAGCTTACCTGGCGATAGGGTTGCAGCAGAAATTGAGTTGCAGTTTGCCCATGTCCAGGCCTACTTTCTGCTTGTGTTTTTTTAAATAGGAGGTGCATGAACCACCCAACTATACATGGCAGCATGTATGTATAGGCCAAACTATTAACATCTAATGTTACAGAGAGAAGGTTTCAGAAACCAAAAGAAAACCACTCTCCTATTGTGTCTGAAGTTTCAAGTGTGTTTATGAGATCTAAGGGGAAATGGATCACACTTATTTCTTTAGGGGAATAAAATAAAATAAAAGAATTATGGGTTCTATAGCAATAATACTGTTATCTTGTAGGAAAAAAAATCAGTAGAAAGTATCAAGGCAATATGAGTAAATGAACAGGGTGTTAAAGTAGATGATGTCATAGGTGAGCCTGTTTCTAATTCCCTCAGCATCCTCCTCCCAAAATATCCCTTAGCATTGTAAAAGTGGGGTATAAATTAGTTTAGTTTTTATTATTTTATTATTACTTTCATAAAATCAAAGACAATCTCTCTCACTTTGCTGCCCATTTGATGTGCAGTGGAAACTGGGTAAACCAGTTCTTTATACTTTGTTTATACACATATAAAGATAGCTGTTTAGCATATTTTGTTAAATTTTTGTAAATTTTTGAAATGCTAGTAATGTATTTTCACCAGCAGATGTTTGTTGCAAACTTAGTGTCATTTTCCTTAAGAAGGTTACAGCTATGTAACCTGTATTATTCTTGACAGATTTGTTAAAAAACAACCAGACAAAAAATAAATAAAATTTGAGTTCTGTTTATATTTTTAAAAAAAGCAACAACTAAAGCCAACAGATATTGTCAGTAGTCTTTTCATTTCTCTGGCCTTGGTCATACAAATATGTTTAAAGTGCTAAAAATCACTAATAACACTGAAAAGCTCTCATTATCTATTAAAGTGAATGCAAAATGGGATATATTTATCTTAGGAAATAAAGAGATGTGTTAAAAACCTCATGACTTTGGATGTGAATTCCAAGATCTCAGTCTTTTCCTCTCAGTGCAAAGTTATCAGAGACAAATTGAAAATATTGACAAGAGATTTCTGTGTCATAGAGCAGTATGCGTAAATACTGTAGAAATGACTTTCACAAGGGTGATAAGCATAGCCCTGTCACATTTAATTCAGCTGAAAAGTCCAACTAAAACATTAAAACTCTAATTGCCCACTCTGATGGCGAGGTATTTTATAATATAACAATGGAAGTAACTGGATTTAAAGGCATACGCTCAGCCAGCACTTGGGTGTTTGTCCATGCAACCTTGCCACCTCAACAGGTTGCCAAAATCCACCTTCTCACTGCTCAGACCCCAGTAAAATTGTGAAGTTTGTCTTTGAAGCTCCCAGACTCCTGGATTCATCCCTCTTCTCAATAGAACCTTTCCATTCCCACTCAGACACTTCCCAGTTCTCAAAAAAAAAAAAAAAAAAAAAAAAAAAACAGGAAAAGTAATTTCTACTAAAGTGTGAGACTGGTAATAGTTTAACATACACGACTTTACTTCTCCTAGGAGAGTTGCCAGTGCACAGGAATCAAAATTCTAAGCTAAACACAGAGCAGAACGGTATTTAGAGTGTGCTACCTTTAGGGTGAGGAAATAAATAATTGTACCTGCTTATTTTTTCAAAAATAAACAATGAAAGGATGAGACAAAAATCTAACAAAAACAATTATCCCCCCATGTAGGGAGGGAAGGAACAGAGTAAAAAGCACAGGTATGAAAACAATTCTGAGTGTACTTTGTTCTATGGCTTTTACTTTGGAACGGAGAGGTGTGCTAAAGGCAACTGACACCAGCTAGCAAGAGCAGGCTGTTAAATTTCAGGAATTTTTTGAGCCGGTTATGAAACAGCTACTATTAAAAATTAAATTATGTAAATTTAGTATTAAATAAATTATATTAATGACAATGTATACTCAAAATTCATCACATTTCAATTATTTTTATTACATTTTTCTATTATCTATGCCACTGAGATTATTTACATGCATTATATCTGTACATTGGAAATATTATATCATGGCACATACTACTGCGGCACTGAAAACCTGCATTAACCAAGAAGAGAAATCTCAAATCAACTACAGATTCAAACTGTTTAGAAAGTATAATAGAAAACGTGGCCAGATAAAACTCAAAGTAGGAAGAAGAAAGGAAATAATAAAATCTTAGGTGAAGTCAATGAAATAGAAGATAGAAAAACAATAGAGAAAATGAATGAAAACAGAAGCTGATTCTTTAATATCAATAAAATTGCTCAACCTTCAGCAGAATGGAATGAAAAAGAAAGAAAAAATAAATTATCAATATTAGGAGTTAGATGACAGTCCAGATTTTACAGATATTAAAAGAATAAAATTGGAATATTATAAATAATTTTATGCTAACAAATTCACCAACTTGGATGAAATGGACAAATTCCTTAAAAATACAAACTACCAAAACTCTCTCAAGAAGAAATATCCCAAATAGCCCTAGATCCATGAAGGAAATTGAATTTTTAGTTAAAAATCTCTCCACAAAGGAAACTCCTACGCCATGTGGCTTCACTAGTATATTTTACCAAATATTTAAGAATGTAAAGTACCAAATCTACACAAATGTTTTGAGGAAATCGAAGAGGAGGGAATGTATTCTATAAGAAATGATGACTCTAAAACTTTGTAAGACAAGAACATTATAGACTGATAACCATCATGAACATAGATGCAAAAATTCCAAATAAAATCTTAGAAATCATAACCAATAATATAGAAAAGGGAGAATACATTATGACCAAGTGCTATTTATCTAGGAATCCGAGAATTTAACATTTGGAAAACAACTTAATGTAATTCACTGTATAAACAGACCAAAAGAAAAACACTGAATAGGCATAGAAAAGACTTTGACAAAATCTGACATCTGTTTTTCATAAAAACTCACAGCAAATTAGGATAAGAAGGGAACATCTTTAACCTGAAAAAGAGTATCTATGAAATTAAGTATTGCTTATATCATCCTTAATGGTGAAATACTGAATACTTTCCCTCTAAGGTCAGGACCAAGACAAGAATATCTGCTCTCACCACTTCTATTTAATACTTTGAGTTTCTAACCAGTGCAATAGTGCAAAATATAAAATAAAATATGTTCAGATTGGAAAGGAAGAAGTAAAACTCTCTTTATTCCCAGGTGATATGACAGCCTACATAGGAAATCTGAGCAAATCTTTAAAAGCTACTAAAACTAATACATAAGTTGAGCAATGTTGCTGGATACATGATCAATATTCAAGAATCAATTGTATTTCTATGTACAAGCAACAAATTACCAGAAATTTAAATAAAAACAATACAATGCTATTTACAGTAACATAAAAATATGCACAGACAAATCTGGCAAAACATGTGAAAGACCTCTATACCGAAAGTTATAAAACGTTACTAAGAAAAATTAAAGCAAGACTAAATAAATAAAGATATATCATGGTCATAGGTTTGAGGATTTGATATTGCTCAGATGTCAATTGATATCTTCTTCTCAAATTGAGCTATAAATTAAATATAATCTCAGTCAAAATCTCCACATACTTTTTTTGGTAGATATTGACAAGCTGATTGGGTAATTTTTATGGCTATGCCAAGAACTTAAAATAGTTAAAATAATTTTAAAAAGAAGAACAAAATTGAAAACACAGCACACCACCTGATTTCAGAATTTATAAAGCTACTGTAAGTGTGGTATTGGGGTCAAGATAGACAAATGGACCAATTGAACAGAATAGAGAGTCCTGAAACAGACTAAAATGTAAATGAAAAATTGATTATTGACAAAGTTTAAAGTCCATTCCTTAGAGAAAACACTGGAAAACTGGATATCCACATGCAAAATAAATGGACTTTGATTCACACCTTGTACTAAATACAAAAATTAACTCAATCTAATTAATAGCCATATGTGTAAAGTCTAAAATCATCAAACTTCTAGAAGAAAATATAGGATGCAATTTTTACGGCCATATGTTAGGCAAAGATTTCTTGCACACAATACTAAAAGCACATAGTGGGAGAAAATATTTGCAAATCATGTATCTGTTAAATAACTTTTATCAAGAATATCTAGGGCTGGGCACAGTGGCTCATGCTTATAATCCTTATGCTTATAAAGCATTTTGGGGAGGCCAAGGTGAAGGATCACTTGAGGCCAGGAGTTTGAGACTAGCCTAGGCAACATAGCAAGACCCCTGTCTCTATAAAAAATAATACAAAAATAATTAATTTCACTGGGCATAATTTTTTTGAGATTCATTTATATTGTTATATGTATAAATAGTTCACTTCTTTTCAATGTTGAATAATATTCCATTTTATGGATATATCACAATTTGTTTATCCATTCACCTGTTGATGGACATTTGAGTTATGTCTACTTTTTGGCTATTGCAAATAAAGCTGCTGTGAACATTCTTGTATGACATATGCCTTTCTTTCTTTGAATAAATACCTAGGAGTAGAGAGCCTGCATCATATGGTAGGTGTACATGTAATGTTTTGTGAAACTGCTAAGCTGTTTTCAAAGCCTTCTCAATGACCTATAGAGGTAAGGCTTATTACTACTCTCTTAGACATGAGGAAACTTGAGTCTCAGAGATGTCAAGTTGATTTGCTCAATGTCGCTCAGCCAGTAAGTGGTAAAACCAAAAATAAACTTAACTCTTCCAACTCTATACCCAGAGAAGCCTCCATCAGCCCATAGGCATTTCTAAAATCTAGTCTCTAGACTAATCTTGCCAGGATTGACATACTGGTACCAGACAAATAGGAGCTTGGAAACAGTGCTTTAGAATTTATGCCATGAAAATTAGTCTTAGGAGAGGATGTATGACACAAGGGTTCCATGGTCAAGGAAGTTTGGGAAGGCCTCCTGTGTAATACATCATATTAAAATAGGAAGGATATGAGAAATTCTTTAGCAACGAAACTCATTTATATTTGTTTAATCAAGTATTTCCTAACCATATCTGAACAAGTCTTGAAGAATTAAAACTCTTGCACCCAGGCATCAAATAGAGGCTTCTTTCTGTATAGATTGTTTAGGTATCAGAATAAAATCCTTTTATTTTTATATTGAATCAAAACCTATTGGGGCTAGTTAATTTCTTTTTTTTTTTTTTTCTTTTTCAATTTCCACCTGGTTTCAAAGGGGCTAGTTAATTTCAAGCTGAGTTGTTCTTTGACATTTTGAACTTCACTAGAATAAGAATCTTTACACTAAGCCTTTTCCAAGTTGATGAACAAAGAAAGCCCTGTCC